GCTGGTGTTTCATGAATATTTTTGCCAACTCGAATTTTATATTTGATTTTTAACCATTAATTTAAGCTGCAATGTTCCCAAATATACCTTATTTTATTGTTTTATTCTGGCTAACGCAGACAATTTTCATCTAATTTGCCAAGGGGATCTTATACCGTAAACCTCCGACTATAAGCCCTGGGCTTATATACTTTCGTAAGCGATTTTTGATGGGCTTATACAAGGGGGCGGGGGGTTATATACTCGGGGGGGGGCTAATACATGGATGATCTTTTGTGTTAGTAATAAACAAATCAGACATAAACAAGTCAGTCATAAACAGGAAAATATACATCCATTAATAACGTGCTTTGATTAACATAACATATAGTCGGCTATAAAGACAATGACAATGTTTTTAAATATCGTTCTCTGCTATATTAAAAGACAATGAAATGTTGAATAACGTAGTGGGCTACTGGGCTTATATTCGGGGGACTTATATTTGGGGGGCTTATATTTGGGTGTGCTTATGTTCGGGAGGGGGTGCTTATATTTGGAATGAATTGAGCGTTAGTATATGTGGTGGGCTTATATTCCGGGGGCTTATATTCGGGGGGGGGGGCTTATAGTCGGAGGTTTACGGTATAATGACAGAGATAATTTTACCTATCATTGGGCTATCAATGCGAGAGTCCTGAGTATTAATATTTAAGAGTGAAAATATTGATTATGATATAATGTTCACATTATAAAATCCCCAAACATAATTCTCTTTCTCGACCATGTCAAAAGATACACTAAACCTAATAAGTTCTTATTGCAACAGATTCTCATTTTAAAGTAGAATAATTGCCACATGTAGCACTTGTTAAGGTGAGATAGCACATCTCTTATCCATCCAGGACAAATGATCCATTTGACACAGTTAATTAACACTATAATGAGGGTAATTTTTCTTTCTTAAAATGGCAATGTATCGATATGATTTTTCAATGGCAAAATGCAATTGGACTGTACGGGCCAGTCTGTACCAGTGACTAATTATATAGTTAAGCTAGGTGACACTTGCTCGATGGCTTCCCTGTTAGATACTGTACTCCTTTTGAAAAATATTAATTGCTACATGTAGTGTTAAGGTGAGATCATGGCACGTCTCTTATCCGTCCTGGACAAATGACCCATTTGACACGGGTAACATTATAATGAAGTAGTTTTTCATTCTTGAAATGGCGATGTATTGACATGATTTTTCAATGGCAAAATGGAATTGAACTGTAACAGTGATTAATTATATAGTTAAGGGACACTTGCTCAATGGCTACCCTCTGTTATATACTGTGCATACTCCTTTTGAAGTAATTAAAATTGCAAAAGTGTTAAGGTGATAGCTATCTAGCTATCTCATTGACAATTAGATTACGAGTAGCGTAAAGCCAATCAGAATACAGCATTTGCATTAGAACTTGACAACATTTAAAATTACTAAATATATATACTGTATAGACTAATGTGGAAATGAATACTTTTAGGATGACGACCCCATTGTCCATGGATGAAGAAGTGAGGAAATCAACCTATAGCTATCCTTGAATCTTGGCATCAGGTGACATTGCATCCTTGGACTCATTGTACATTGCTGCTGTGGGGCAAATCTACTTGCATTTTGCTGGTAAAAATATTCCACATACTTTTGCTACATTCCATGTTCTAAATATGGAATACACTCCAGGTGTTTCGAGTGTTTATGCATTTCTACAATCTAGAAGCTGTCACCTTAAACCGCCCTGCTGATGCCGAGAACAAAATTTCTGTACAACAACTTTTAAGTGAGCTTGGACTCTGAAATTAATCGTGATAAATACTTAGTTCATATAAATTCATGCATGTTCTTGTCAGCGAGTAATTTATAATAATAACCAATTTTGAACCTATATTTCTCTTTTGTGTGTGTCTTAATGTGCCTGGTTGAAAGTGTTAAATCAACACCTTAAATCTGGTGTTATTTTAGCACCAGATAGGAAGAGGTGTTGCTTTGGCACTGCCAAACCAGGTGTTATTTTAACGCCACACTATAGGTGTTAAATCAACTCTTAAAACTGGTGTCATTTTAGCACTTAAAAGTGGTGTTAGTTTAACACTATAAACAGGTGTTAAATTAACCCCAAAAATTAGTGCTAATTTAACACTACAAATGGGTGTTGTTTTAGCACCATATCTAGTGTTATTTTAACACTTTTTTAGTGGTGTTAAAATAGCACCAAAAAGTAGTGTCATTTTTTACCTAATTTTTTAACACCACTTTTTGGTGTTATTTTAACACCCTAAAATTAACAGTGTATAATTATAGCCTTGGCAACTAATTGGAAAGAATACAGCAATGAGCAGGTTACAAGAAAACAAAAATTTGCCTCGAAAAAGACAAACGTGCCGTCGCACGGCAGATTAAAATCCTGAAGAGAACGCGAGGTGCATTCGTCATTTTCACGTTATCTTAACCTACGGTTACACGCTGCGATTAATCGTATACGATTCTTTTTCTGGTGTACGTCAATGAGTGAACACACGTTCACTGTAAAAACTGATAGGTTAAAATAACCTATTTGTAAAGGTTGTCACTTATATAAATAGGTTGTTTTAACCAATTGAATAGGTTATAATCAAAATAAATAGGTTAAAATAACCAATTATTTTTTGGTTGATCTTGAACAATACAACTAATATAAAAACAAGTGAAAGAAACTCTAAAGATCGATAACATTTTTCTATTTGTCAATGGAGTTTCATTTGTTTTGTATTTTGTAAAATACTCAGTAGTTCTAAAAATTATTGTAGTTTAATAGGTTGTTATCTTGGATGTTTAGCCGATACTGATAACAATAGCCATGTTGTTTTAAATATTTTTATAATACTCATTCATAATACATAAACTTTGTACGTGTCAAATAATGTCAACCATTAATGAGTTAAATTATAAGCCAATAATAATTGCTCAAAAGACAAAACAGTTATAGGCAATTATAGGCAATATTAGTTCAGTACGTTATAATCTTTGTTAATAAAATTAGAAAATGCATCTTATTTTTTAAATATTTATACTGATAGTATACTATATACAACACTGTACAGATATAACATTGAATTGTTTATCACAATCATTTCAACATATAGTATGCATTCATGCAGGAACCACACCACCATAAATCATCTTTTAATCTCCACGACTCCACATATTTGGTGGGGGGGTGGGGGGTGGGGGGGTGAAAAGAGGTGGGGTTTTTCAATTGACATGAATATACAGTTATACTACAACTTTAATAGTTGGTCTGTCATAAAGTCATAAACTGAGTTTATAGTGATCTAATATATTTTCAGCAAAATGTCCTGGGGAGGGCATGTGGGGAGGTCTAGTCTCCAGAACTAAAATATTTAAAATATGTATGTACCTTATATTGCGTCGTAAATTCTTTAATTATTGGCATGCAAGGAAGATATAACAAGACAGCTAGAATTTTGAAGATGGAATTAAGAGTTTCTGTCAAAAAAACAGAGATACAGGATTATTTTTGCACTGGATTGTTCGCATTATTGAGATCATGCAGTGCGTTCAGTCAATCGTGTTGCCAAATATGGGCTCCCATAAGGCTTAGCGAGCACACTCCAAGCGCGTCCTTTGAAAATTTTATTTTAACGTCGGTTGATATAGCCAAAATTTCTTAACATATTGAAGAAAATTAGAAGTAATACACCAATTTTTGAAGATAAAGACAATAATTTTAAATGTAAGTGTTCAACTATGTCAATATTTTTAAGTTTCGTGTGTAAATATGTGCCATAAATAGTAATATATTCATGTATATTTTAACCGCCGTGCGTTGGCGGCATGTATATTTGTGTGAAAGGTTCAACAATATATTGTTAATAAAACTTAGTGATATTACCTTGTATATTTACAGATTATATTTTCAAGCAATTAATAATGCCATAATATGTGATCTAAGCAAGTCGAACTGTCGAAAACATGATATATACAGGCTACAAGAAGGTATGAAATATACAGTAGAATCAGTAGATAGAACAAAGGTAGGATTGTTCTCTCATACAAAGCTAGACTGCTAGAGAACTTGCTTTGGCGATTATATCAATAGTTGCTTAGTGAGTCAATATTGATACACTCTCAATACCTTAACAATGTAAATATTATATTGTTAATGTATTGTCAGATGTATTGAGAAGGTATCAATACAGTATATTGACTCATTTAGCTAAATTATATTGATTTAAGTTCTATGGCTTTCAGGTTTAATAGGAGAACTATCCTTCCTTTGTATTATCTATATTGTGCTATCACAGTAAATAGCTATATCTATATTTAATATCCAGACAATCCCTGACTGTTGCTGAATACATTGAGGCTACATTTTTGAGTTTTTCATAGTTTATATGCCTCTGAGAAATCCCAGGCTCACCTTTTATGCATGAAGAAAATGTTTAACATTATACATGGAGAGTTTTCAGCCCGGGCTGAGTTTCAGCCTGGTTAAACGAGCTGAAATTGCATCACGATAATTTGCATGAGCAGTTTGAGCTCGGTCTGAGTTTAGTCAGAGCTACAGTATACACTGTAAAAACTGATAGGTTAAAATAACCAAAAAAATAGGTTATTTGGTTTGGTCTAGGACAACCCGATAAATATAGGTTATTTCAATAGGTTAAAAGAACCAGAACTAAATAGGTTAAAACAAACCATTAAAAATGGGTTGGTTTGTACCCATAAGAAATAGGTTGTTTTAATAGGTTAAAACAACTAAAATTAAATAGGTTAAAACAAATCATCGAAAATGGTTACTTTAACCTATAAATCTGTAATATGTCATTTTAACGTATTAATTATTGGTTGATTGAACTAAAGATTTATGGTTATTTTGACCAATTAAAAAAAGTAATTCCAACCTATATTCAAAAGTTAAAATGACTAAAATTTAAACTGTCAAATTGAGCATATTTCAACCAAATAAATATAGGTTGTTTTAACTATAATACAAATGGTACGGATATTCACCAATAATATTTTGGTTGATTTGGCCAACTTTTTTAGTTATAACAACCAGTAAATAACGGTCAAAGTAGGAGTACAAAACATCGCGCACTTTCGTTGGTTAAATAATGTTGCGTCAACTAAATAAGATACGCTAAAACGAAATAGCTAAACAATAATCTGCAGGCAATTAATCATCCAAGTACGCTATAATCAAACAATATTATGAACTGTATATAAAAATATATTTTGTAACATCTAAAATTACAGTAAGTACACAGTAGTACGTATAGTGTTACTATAGCCTGTGTTCCAGTTGACTACACTGTTACTGACACACAGGCTAGAGAGTTGCATGGTTTTGTCAAGTATTATTATATTATCATGAAATCATGGCTAAGCACTTAGCTTAGCATTAACTATCACCATGCAACCCCGGCCTGTTTGTGCATTCACAATCTCTCATTATTACAATATGTTACAACAATCGATCGCCATATAATCTTAGTTCTAGCTTGTGTTCTATAGTTCACCGATTGGCAGAGTTTGACCAATCCTTCCCAGCAGAATATGCTCGAGGAACATTGCCAAGGCCACTGACGTATTCAGCATTAAGAACAAAATACCGTAAACCTCCGACTATAAGCCCTGGGCTTATATTTTTCCGTAAGCGATTTTTGATGGGCTTATACAAGGAGGGGCTTATATACGGGGGGGGGCCTTATACATGGACGATCTTTTGTGTT